GTTTGGGTATCACCCATGTCTTAGCACCTGATCCTATGGTCAGCCACATAGAATCAGGCAAATGGAAGATCAAGTCATGAAAGAAACCCCGACTTGGTACAAGCTCAAGCAAAGCCTACACTTACGGGCATCTGTACTTCTAGGCCCAACACGGGGGAAGCAGACAAGACAAAATATTCCAAGAATGTTTTCAGGAAATACAGGAATGGTTAGCCATAGCGGCTTTGTTTGGTGAGCTTTCCAGAGCAGGGATGGCAAATCAATTTCGACTTCAGAACCAACTCCAGTTATTGGCAGAGGCCGCTCAGAGGGCTGTGCTGGGAAGGATTCTGAGGTCAGGTCCAGGCCCAGAGGGAAGTGCAGCAACTGACTAACAACGTGAATGGAGGGTGAAATAGTGGCACCCAAGCCACACTGACACAGCTCTGCAGGCCAGGATGAGGGAATAGCGAGGGATGTGCAGAAAATTTAAAACTGGTCAAAGTAATCACTTCCTTTGTGCAGACAAGTTATTAGACTGAGGCATCTGTGGCATGAGGGGCTGGGTTTAGCATATGGATTGGGGTTCAGTCCCAGTTCTCCGACTGGGACTGGATATCCCACTGTATATCTGGTGGCTCGGGGTGAGGGAATGGGAGTTAGTACCTATGAAGTAATAGCACTGTGCCAGGAAATGCTAAGTGCTTTGTCTACATCACAGTATTTCATTAACTCCTCCAAGCCTGTTTCCTCAGGTATGAAATGGAAATAGCATCATCAGTGTGCTGTGTGGATTAAATAAGGTAACCGGGGTGAAAGTTCACTGTACACTGGAAACTGTTATAGAACTAGTGTTATTAGTGCAATGCCGATTCGCATTCAAGGCATAAGATAGTAGTTAGCCATCAGACTCGGCCTCAGACAGACTTGGGTTCTGATTCTGGCTTCATTACTTACTAGATTCTTCCCCACACCCCAGTTTCCTCAGATGAAATACGGAGATAATATCAGCACTAGCTAATAAGAGTGCCACAATTACAGGAGACAAAGCATGTAAGAGAGTGACCAGCAAATGCTCGGCACACAGTAAGCCCGTGATAAACCATAACTGCTTTAAAAAATTGTAATTCTTCTTGTGAATACTCTTTACAAAGAATAGATCTTTGCCATAGATTTCATTAATAGACACCCCAAAGCTTTTCAATTATTAGAAAAGTCTGGCGGAAAACTGGTTTAAGTTTGGGTCCTGCAGATCAAAGTCTGACTCTCTCATCCGACAGCAGAAATCAGCGGCAGGTGGTGAAGCGGAGCAGCGGCCACCACTGCCCTCAGAAGACAAGAGCTGAGCTGGCACCGGGGCTGGGAACCCCGGCCCTGCTGTGTGAGGACCACGGAGGCCGAGTGGCCGGTGGTTTTCTGTGGACTCAGCAGCATGGCTGGGTGAATGCGCACACAGACACTACGCTTAGGAACCTGCCACAGGGGGCGAGTGAACCTCTGCTCTGACTGACAGGGCGGGCGAGCGGAGGCGGCCATCCATCACTGTCAGGAAAGATCTGAAGCACCTCACTAGTCAGTTGAAATAAAATAAATTATTTACTGATCTCAGGGTCCAGCTGCTCATTTGAATGCTCATAAAGGGTGTGCTGTTTACTTTGTGGTAGATTCTGTTTCAGGAAGGAAGGATTTCTGGATTGCTGTGTGCAGGTGTTTGTTGTTGTCAGAATGAAAGGGTGTTATTATCTGCTTTGCAAGGAGGGAGACAGGGTCTTAAGTTACATATCTGAACTCGTACATGGGAATAGGAAATAAGTGTATTTATTCACTTCATGGTACAGGACTCAGGGCACAGTTTATCTGTCAAAAAATTTCTTAGGACTAATTAATGCAGTTTCTACTTATAATGCTAAAGATTGAACTTAAATGCATAACAGAAACATTCTGACACGTTTTAGAAGCATCTCAGAGCTGTGATGTTCCACCAGAGGGAGCCATGTGCACCACTGGAAGCATCCAGAGGCGGCTGGGACCTGGCCTCTAGTCACTTCTTTTCTGAGAACCTCTGCTCTAGGGAGAGATGCTTGTATCACTGTCAGCCATTTCTACCTGAGACGTCTCCACTGTGGCTACAATACAGCCACTACCTAATCTGAGTGATCTGGTTACATGTTTTCAAGATGGTGGAATAAAAGAGAAAGTAATAAGCAAAATAAATATTACTGACAATAATGACACTAAGATAAGCTACCATGGAGAATACAGTGTCTATGGGCCACTTTCCTACAATCTTGAAAGGTAAATGTAACTCACATTTTTTAAATGACAAGAATTAAGATTAACCAGGGGAGGGACTTGTCCAAGGTGACCCTGCAGGGAGGTAGTAATGCTGGGATTCACACCCAGTCCCGACTGCAAAGCGAGACTCTTCTCACAGATCCTTTTCTGGACCTTTTCCTTTATACTACTTTTTTTTTTAAATTTTAAAAGAGAGAAACATCAGTTTGTTGCTCCACTTATTTCTGCATTAATTGGTTGATTCTTGTATGTGCCCTGACCGGGGATTGAACCCGCAACCTTGGTGTATCGGGACAATGCTAAAACCAACTGAAATACCCTGCCAGGGTCCCTGGACTTTTTCCTTTAAATAAATATTCAGGTCAGAATCTGATGAATTAAAGTTTGCCTTGAGAAAAAATTAGGGGAAGAAGCCCAGAAACCAAGCTTGCACTCCTTTTCACTTTGGGGGTCAGTCATTTGCTGATTTTGCTCACCTGGGAAAACCCCCGCCTTCTCTCCTGGACCTTTATCTTGGCTGCACTCTGGCTATTTATTGAGCTTCTTAAAACTACACCCACTCAGAGAAAACAGACCCTTTGTTACTGGGAAGGCACTGCATTCAGGCACACGCAAACTGGATGTCAGAGTAGCATCCTCACTTTAGTTAACTTTTCACTGAAAACATACCAGCCGAAAGTACATAAATCATAGGAGTATGTATGCTTGACTTTTCCACAAAGTCTACGGACTCATGTAATCAGCACCCAGATAAGGCACAGAACTTTATCAGTGTCTCAGAAGCCCCTTCAGTCTGGGCTCCCAGGATAACCACCATCATTACTTCCACACAGATTATTTTTGTGTATTTTTGAATGCTATATAAATGGAATCATACAGTCTGTACTTTTGCCCCCCTTTCTGGACCTGGTTTCTTTCTGAGCAGTCTTTTATTTTTATTTCTAGGTGACATACCAGCAAAAGCACCCCCAGGAAGAACACCCCTGAAGAAACTTTATGTTTTAAGAATCAACTTTTTTTTTTTTTTTTTTTACCACTTTAGAGATTTAGTTTTTTGTGTGAGGCATAAACAGTCTAGAGAGAGGGAAGAAGAGTGATTCTTTGTTTTGGTTCAAAGTTACTGGGTGCTAATTCATGTGCTGAGTTTGTTGGAATCACCATCATCTCAGCAGCTGATGTTCACTGAGCACTTGCCTTGCTAAGTATTCTGCATGTGCTATGACATTCCATCCCCACAATTACCCCCTCTATGAGGGACTATTAGCTTCATTTTACAAGTGTGGAGACGGAGATTCTGAGTCATCTGCCTGTGATGATACAGCTACTTAGCGAGCCAGGGTTTGGACCCAGGCCTCTAAGTCCTGAGTCTGTCCTCTGAGTGAGTGCTTCCCCATGTTGCTTCTCCACCAACAGTCCTCACCTTTAGACTTTAGCAGCCGCCAGGCCCTGTGCTCAGGGCTTTACGTGGGCCGCTGGCTTGTTCCACGGCGGAAGCTGGTACCACTAACACTCACACTTAAGCAGAATGGAACTGAGCTCGGAAAGAGGAAGACACTTGCCTAACATGGCTGGTTACTGATGGAGCCACAACTTAAACCAGCTGTGATCCTGACGCTCATCTTTTAGTTACTAAGCTGTACTGTCAGCATATTTCAAGCTCCTGTCAGTCAAGTTGGGAAGAAATTATTAAGATATTTTTCAGGCTTTATTACAATTAGCCAGACTAATGCCAACATTAGAAAAGATTTTATGATAAGACACATACAAAGCATTTACGAGAATCGTAAGTCGTGAGCCTTCGAGTTAGACTCCAAGCCTTCTCCCTTTATGCCTGAGCGAACGAGGCCCAGGCAGGGGTAGAGTGGCCAAGTTCAGTGGCAGCCCAGCTCTCTGACTAGACCAGGCATCCACCCAGGCTCCCCCTCCCCCCACCTGTTAGGGAGCAGGTGCACTCACACTGGCCAGACCAGGGTTCTGTTCCTGACACCACCAACCTACCTGCTGTGTGAGCTTGAGCGTAAGCCTTCACCTCCCCGCCCCTTATCTACCTTCTCTGTTAGACGGGGACAGTAAATGCACTTCCTTCTAGGTGGCTAAGTAGTGCATGTGAAGCACTTAGCACAGGGCCTACTACACAGCGGATACCTGCACATGACAGCCATGACGACAGTGAGGTATTAATATTCTGTTGACTGCTGTGACACTTTTTCTACTCTGGTTAGGTTTAAGTCAAAACAGAAATTTAGATTGGAACACATTAACACCAAATATTAGTTGGAAGTTAGTTCCGAATTATCTGGTGAGAATCCAAATACAACTTCTGAGATCACTGTAAAGCTTCCCGAATAAGTAAGTGCATGAGTGACGAGGCAATGAATCCACAGAGTAGGAAAAGGCAGGCGGCAGTGCTACCAGCAGTCTCAGCACGGCAAGTAAGAGCATTACAGAATGAGAAGAATTATGGAACCTCGCAGAAGTCAATCGGTTTGAAAAGAGTCTCAAGTTAGTTCTATTTCTAATCTTCTGCTTCATAAAAAAGAAGACAAGACAGAGCACTCGGCTGGGGAAAAGAAGGTACTTTAAATTTCATTGTTTAAACATTTTCTCTGAAAACAAATTACCGTCAGTCATTCAGGTCACATGAAAGTTGTATGTTGTTTCTTTCCCCATCTCTACACTGACCACTGACATGAAGGGTTCACTTCATCTCCTGTTCATGCACTTACCTAACTGTACGTCGGTTGTGAATCGCAGTCTGTGGATCATGCTGACTTTGAATGACTTGTAATGGTGGCTGCTAAGCATATCCTGTACTGTAGCTATGTCAATTTGCGAATCCTCCTCACAAACCCCGTCTGCCCTTGAACCTGGGGAGGAAAAAGCAGTTTAACACATAAAGATACATGAGGCTTGGCAAATGTTGTCTGCTTAAAATGCTTTGGGATAAATTAAAATAATATGGGCTATTTAATTTGGAGAAGAAAAGGCTGAGCGATGACTTAATAATGCCATTCCAGTAAACAGAGAACGGTAACATATTAATCATTCAACAATTAATTCCACAAACACGGCCTCCTCTGTGGCAGGCCCTGGGCCAGGCAGTGGGGGTACTGAAGGCAAGAAACACTCCTGCTCACCAGCGGCTCTCAGTCTCCACAAGAGAAAGTCAAAACCACAAAGCATGGGTGGTCACATGTCTCGTTTCTTTTTCTAATATTAATTTTCCCGATCATAAAAGTAATCCACACTTCTTGAAGAATCCCGTCCTTTCTGAGATTCTCAAATATCAACTTGCCGTCCTGCGCCCCCGTCTGCGTGGATGCAGGCATGAGCCAGCTCACCCGCGACGGCTGGAACCATCTCCCACTGGCCCTCTGGCCACCAGGCTCCCTCTGCAATCCAGCCACCACCGGGTTTCCCATTCATCTTTCTAAGGCTTTGATCATTTATTCACTCATCAAATGTTTAGTGAGAGCTCTGTGCATGCTAAGTACTCTGATAGGTGACACCGGCGACAAGTAAGACAATTGGTACTGAAAAATCGTCCCTGGCTTCCCGTGGCTTCCTGAATGATGCACACTTTTTTCAGCCAAGTAGTCAAGACTGTCCATAATCTGGCTGAAACAAACATTTTCAATTTTACTTGTCACTTTTCACATATACCTTCTCTCAGCAACTCCCAGACTCCCCAGACTGCACACAGATGCAAGTTTTTCTACTTCTGGGCCTTTGCTCATGTGGTACCTTTGGCCTAGAACACCCTTTCCACCCTTACCCTGCACCTGTCAAGACCCCACTCGGGCAGGCTAGCCCAAACTCCACCTTCTGCTGAATTCCATTCCTACTGGACCCTGGAGCCAGGGAGACCTGGGCTCAGTTCCTAGCTCTGCCTCCTTGCTGCATGATCTATGGCAAGCGACCGGCTCTCTGAACCCCCGTCTTTGCCATACACAGAATGTCAAAATGTGTTTTAAAAATCTAACACATACTATGCTTAATAAGTAGCAGTCATGATTATTATTTTTTATATATTTTTTTATTGATTTCAGAGAAGAAGGTAGAGGGAGAGAGAGAGAGAAACATCAATGATGAGAGACAATCATTGATTGGTTGCCTCCTGCACACTCCCTAAAGGGGATCGAGCCCACAACCCGGGCATGTGCCCTTGACTGGAATCAAACCTGGGACCCTTCAGTCTGCAGTCTGATGCTCTATCCACTGGGTCAAACCAGCTAGGGCAGTCACGATGATTTTTATTCTACTGCCATAGAGGATCACCTTCAGCCTGGCACTGGAGCTGCTGAGTGGTTGCTCTTGTCCTAATTCAGAAGCTTTGTGAGGGCCAGTAAAGCTTGTTCTTCATCTCTGTATCTTCTCCTTTAAGCCTTACAGGCAACTGGCATGCTCTCACTAAATTCTGCTAAATAAATAGATAACCAAACAGAAGCTAGGACATATGAGTGCTTGCTACACAGCAGACATGGTGAAGTGCTTTACACATGTGAAACCTCATGAAAACCGGCTGTCATTGCTCATTTGAGGCTTTGGGAATCTGAGGCTTTCGAGGTGAAGTCACATGTCCAAGGTCACACTCACCAAAGCTAAACTCTCTCACCCTGCAGAGTTTGAAATGAGTTGTCCTGAAGGTGCAGCTGCTGGTGCCACTCACCAGTGGGAGGGAGCACCTGCTAGCACAGGCCAGCCAGCCTCGGGCTGAGCAGCTAGAGGAAGAGCCAGAGAGAACTCCTTGGATAGAGTTGGAGCAGCTACAAACTCAGGATTTGGGTACAAAACAGGAACATCTGTTATATAACTGGTAGCCTGACAACTACACGCTTTTCCTTTCCACAGTATTGCTTATAGGATGAGCTTTTTTTTAAATCCTCAACTGAGGATATATTTTTGAGAGAGGAAAAGAGAGAAAAACATTGATTGGTTGCCTCCCATACATGCCCTGACCAGGGATCAAACCCACAACGCAGGTATGTGCCCTGACCGGGAAATGAACCCATCACCTTTTTGGTGTATGGGAACAACGCACCAACCAACCGAGCCACCTGGCCAGAGCGACAGGGCAAGCTTTTAAGTCAAAGTTGCTTCCTGATGCCTCCCCCGAACTCCTGCATTAGGAGGTGTGTACTGGCCCCAAACACTACACTTATTCCCAGCGTGGCCCACTCCAGCCCCTACAATAAGGCTTCCTCTCAATGAGGACCAAGCCTCGCCCTCAATGGCCGTTCACTGCCCGCCTGGGACACAGTCCCACCTCAGTGTTGGCACATGTTGCTCTCTCTGCCCAGGTCACCCATCTCCTATTCTACTCCCTCCTGGCCTATTCCTCCAGGCTCCTCCCTGTTCTTCCTGAAGAGCTTAGCTCAGGTGACACCCAGGGAACTGTTCCTGACCCCAGGCCCCCAAGTCTAGTCCAGCTCCCCTGTCAGTGCACCCGACATTTTCCTCAGAATACTTATCACAGAGAGTAATTACCTGTCTCTGCCATTCGACTGTAACCCCAAGAGGGCAGGCCCGATGGCTGCTTTACTCGCCCCTGTAGCCCGGACCCTGCCAGTGCTGCCATGCACAGGATAAAGCAGGTGCTCAATAAAAATGTACTGGATGAGTACCAGGTGCCATGTCCACAGGAAGGTGAGGATCAGAGGCAGAGGGACTTAACCAGCGTCGCATGGCTACGATCAGCAGAGCCGCACTCAACGCCTGCCAGGGCCACGGGGAGCCCTGCTTCCCTTCCGTGGAACGCCTGTGGTTGTGGATAGAGATGCCACCACCATGGCCACCCGGCTCCTGGGGACTTTCCACATCTCTAACGGAGGCTGGTGAGAATTTAGAGTTTTGAATAATCACTCACTTTCTCCAATGCATATCTGACTGAAACAGAACTACCAAGATGTGTTTGTTTCTACTCTAGAACCTTTTATACATATGAGAACTGTAGAGAAGTTTGGTGAAATATTAAAATCCTTTCACGTTTTAAAAATAATTTCAAGCTATCTTTTTTGAGAAAATGCCATTATTAGCTATAACTTAGTTCAAGAATTTCTGTTTTCTTTATTAATTAGTATTTTCTAAATATTGAAGGTTCTTGATTTGGAAAGAGATAACAGCTCATTATACTAAAATGCCAATTACTAAAAAACCCCCACCAAAACAACACACCACACTTAAGAGTTTTACATTTTTATGATGTTGGATTAAAACCAATTTAAAAATTACTATAACGTGACATATAATTTTTTACTGAGCAATTTCAATGCCAGCTGCTAATAAAGCATCTTAGCTGTAAATGATAATTCAGATGCTTTTAGATAAAGTGGTGCATAAATATAGTTGGAAATTGATTTAGCTTCTTACAGAAGCTACTGAAGAATGACATATTTTGTTTAATACACCAGCTAATGTAGTCCTAAAAGCTCAAACAAGTGCCAGTTTTCACTCCTAAATTTGCTGTGGGAGATTAATGAAAACTTTATATTTTGCTGAAATGTTAATAATGGGCAGATGAGACGATAGGATTTTAGTGGAGGTCTTAAAGCTATGGAATAACCAGCAAGGCTTGTCAATGTCCTTATATTAATTTTGTTCAAGACTGATACAGCTGGAGCTGGCTCCACACACTAATGCTTCTTGCATTGACCTTCTACTCTCCGACAGTGTAAATTCAAGTCCCATGTGAGGATTTAGGTCCCCGGATACTTGGGTGAGCTCTGAGTCTGGCCCCAGCTGACAAGGGGCATGTTTGCTTTCATGATTAGAGGGCAACAGCACCTGGGGGAGCAGAGAAGGAAGAAACAGCCCTGCTCGTGCTTCCCATACATGCCGCTCACGCCAAAGCAGGTCACCTGCTGAATGGAACGACTTCTGGTCTCGGAGTTCCAGAGCCCTTTCTCCGTGTAGGTTCAGGAGAGCTGCTTGGAGGGGGGGTGTGTGTGTACGGACCAGCCAGCCTGCGACCTGCCACCCGCCAGGCCAGCTGTGCGCTAGACAGCGGAGGAACACTGGTGAGGGTAAGGCCGGTTCCTGCTCCTCAGGAGCGTACAGACTTGCTATGGAACACAAAGAAAACAGTACAAGGCAGAGAGAAATGCCCAACAACCGGCTCAGGCAGCAGCCCCTATCTAAAGACAAACACCTGAAGCAGGTCCTTACCCAAAAGCATGTTTTCCGGACCAGAAAAGTCTAAGACCTTTACTGTTTACATCCTTCCAGGAAGGAGCAAACCCAGCCACACGTGAAATATACTCAGCGCTGCCCCATGTGCACATTAAAATCATTACTGTGCTATCAGCTTCACATTCAAAAACCCACTCCTGTTCAAGGCATTTTTATCCACTCAACGTAAAAACTAGAGAAAACCAGAATGTCTTAAAATAAATATATTAACAAAAAACACTCCCCAAACTGTTAATTTAATTGAAATATAACCAACCCTTTGGTGTTTTGTTAAATTAGCAATTAAAAAGGTCACAAGCAATTAAATGAAACAAAAGCCACACTGTGTTCATCTACATTAATGCTGAACTGGGGCTCCTGGTGAATGACAAGATGAATTGTAATGGCGCCTTCAAAGACTTCATGATGTACTTTGTCAAAGTCGGGAGTGTTAATGTCTCTATGTGCCATGGATTACCATAATGTATTGTGTCAAAACGCTCGAGCTGCAATAACTCAAAGATGTATTGTGATAGATCAAATTTTGGGGCGGGGCCTAAATGTGACTCAAGCACCAGACCTCAAATGGTCTGACAACAGGCTCCGGAAGAATGACGGAGAGGCCATTCACAACGTGGAATGGTGCAAGGGACAGCAAAAACCCGAGACGAAGAAGCTTAGCTCTCTAGAGTAAGGAATT